TGTCCTCTTAATTAGCCAGGCTCCGGCCGGGCGCCCGTCCCTCAACTTCGCTCGGCAAACCGTGCTTGGGCCTCGGAGCTGCGCCGGCCAGCACCTGCGGCTCAGGGAGTCAGGCGGGCGGCCAGGCGGGGCCTCCCAGCGGCCTGCAGAGGCCGACCTGGGCCTCCCCCAGGGCACCGCCATCCAGAGGGTGACAGGAAGGTGGTTTCTGGGGTCACATTTTCAGAAACATATGCAGAGCAGGCCAGATGTTACACCTTTGCTCCAGCGGCTGGCTCCGCCCCCCCAGCTCCTACCCACCCCGCGGAGGCGACACCTCCTCCTGGAGGCCCTCCTGGAGCTCACGGCTAACTCTGGGGTGTCCTCCCCGCCTCCCGGCCAGGACTACAGCTCAGGATGTGGGCGACACCCTGGGCACCCATGGCTTCGGCTCCCACCTTTGGGGGTCACGGTTAAGGGGTAGGGGTTGGGGGTCACAGGTATCTTGGCAACTCTGAGAGCCATCAGCCTGGGCCCCTGAAACTGCACGTCCCTCTTCAAAGCTCGTCCAGAGCCTCTGTCTGATTCATGCCTCAGTTTCCCTATTTGTGACCTGAGGGCGCAGAGATTGGCAGGGGTGTGTGTGGAGCCAGAGCGAGGCGGTGCCGGCCTTGCACTGCCCTCCTTGGTTCTGAGCTGACGGCGCTGGGGCGTGGCCCGTGGCCCCAGGTGGCACAGCTGTCCTGGCCCCCACGGTCAGCAGGGCGGCCAGCGGTCCGGCCCTGGAATTGTTCTTCCCACCGCAGCGGCGCCCGTTGGGGCGCAGGCCGCACCGGGCTGCACCGAGGGGCCCGTGGAGGCAGCAGGACCGCAAGGACACCGCTCGCAGGCTCCGGGCTGCGAGGCCTGTCCTTTGCAGCGGGCGGGGCCGGGGCCGTCCCTGCATCTGCAATGTGGCCCCTCACGCAAACCTGAGCCACACTGTCTCCTTGGGAGAAAAGGGGGCCTGAGGCTCAGCGGGGACAAGGACTCGCTCCCCACCACCACCTGGCTCTACGTGATGCTGGCCGGAAGCTCCCAGGAGGGCGTCACCTCCTGTCCTTCATAGACGGGGGCTGCGATTCGCCCAGGGCCACCCAGGGCCACCCAACCCTGGTGTCTGATTCCTGACCCGGTCAGGAATCATGTGGAAGGCAACCGATCGATGTTTCTCCCTTTCTCTCGCCCCCTTCCTCTCCAAAGTCAATAAACATATTTTAAGAAATTTAAAAATTCACATAATATAAATGAACTATTTCGAGTGTGCAGTTCCATAGCATTTAGTATGTTCACAGTGTCGTGAGACCACATCTACCAGCCCTAAAACATTTTCATCCCCCTGAAAGGGGCCCGCCCCCTTAAGCAGTTGCTCCCCCGCCCCGGGGGGCACCAGTCTGCTCCCCGCGGGCCATTTCTCCGGCTCTCCGTCTCCTCCTCCTCGGTGTAACGCCAGGACAAAGGCCGGTCAGGCGTTTGGGCAGATAAGGCTCCTGGCGTGGTGCCTGGAGGTCTCAGGAGCGCTGGTGGTTTCAGCGCTGCCTCCCCCGCCAGCCAGGCTCCACGCGCGCAGAGTGTAGCGGGAGGGGTCCCAGAGGCTGGTGGGCCCGGGCTCAGTTCCTGGGACTCCGCTCTCCGGGGCTGGAGGGTGGGGCTCGAGGGACTCCTGCAAGGAGGAGCCCAAGGCGACGGAGACCCTGCGCGGGCTGCTCGCTGCTCGCCCTGGCCCAGGCGAGGGGCCTCGCTGTGGGGCTGGTGGAGGCGAGGGCCCAGGGGTGCGGCCAGGGGCACAGAAGGGGTCCTATGACCGCCCATGTGTCATGAGAACGGACTGGAAGTGGCCGCGGAGACAGGGGACTGACTGGGGCGAGTCACCGAGGCACAGATGGAAGCAAGATGCAGAGCAAAAAACCCAAGTCAAAACCAAGTAAAACCAAAATCTTCAGAAACAGGCTAGGCATTTTTATATCTAAATATCTATCAATATTGCCCAGGTAGCCGTCTATTAATCAATCAAAAAAACTCCACCCCCCCACTACGTTGGGCCCCCCCCCCCCGCCTTCCCTGAGCCTCCGTCCCACCGGGCACCGCTGTGGCCAGAGAGGTCACACGGCCCTGTGTGCAGGTCCTGCCTCAGGTCCCTCAGGGAACGATGGGACGTGGACACGACGTCCCTGGGCCCCACGGGAACCCAGGCGCCATGGGAGCTGCCCTGGAACGAGGGCATGGCTGGGGCAGGGCCTGGCCCACTCCCAGGCTGGCCACTGGGCGCCCCGCTGCCTGACCTGGGGACAGAAATGAGGCCACCAGCAAGGGCTGCTCAGCCGGTTCTGAATCCGGTTTCCTGAGCCTTGGGGACCGAGGCCCTTGCCGCCCAGCCAAGCAGCCCTGGAGCACTCCCTGCGCGCGCTGCCGATGGGCCGGGGCTGCCCCACGCGAACCCGCAGGGTGTACCCGGCACTGCCGTCGAGGCAGACACCCATGTCAGAGGGCCTTCACACACACTGCCACGGACAAAGAGCAGGGAGCTCCCCACCACGGAGGGCACTCAGGCCTTCCTTTTTACATGGTGCATGGGCCATCGGGGGGCAGTGAGGGGCACAGAAAGGGTGCTGGTCTGCGGGGGAGGGCTTCGCTGTCGGCAGGGGCTTCTGGCCAAGCGGAGCATCCACAGCAGCAAACCAGGGGTCTGCCCACACGGTTAAATAAACCCGGCACGGCCGGCCCCTGGACCATTATGCAGCCGTGAAAAGAGACGAGGAAGCCACTTAGACATGCTGAAGCAGGAACTGTGCTGAGATCGTCAGGTAATAAAAGCAGGGTTGAAAATACTGTTTAAAAACGTTCAGAAGAATAAGAAACCCACCCATGGTTGCTTGTCTTTGCATCAAGAAAGGGAAACCCAAGATAGGAGTCTAACAGCAGTGAGCCTGGGAGTGGGGCGCGGAGGCCTTTTCACATTCTTGGGCTTTGAACTGTGTGAATGTCCCGTCTATTTGGAAAACAATCCGGCTCTCAGTGCCCTCCAGCCCCACCGCCAACACCCAGCCGGGCGCCCGCAGCCGCCCCGCAAAGCCTGCCGTTACTCCACCCCCTCGCCTCTTAGCCAGGCGGCTGGCCAGAGGCTCGGGTCTCTCTGACTAGACGCAGGTCTTCCCGGGTGTGGATGGTGTCTGCAAACAGTGTCTGAGAGCGTCCCCAGGGACTCTCTGGCCACTGAGTGGGGGATTTGCATCTCTTCTACAAAAGGGGAAACTGAGGGTCAGAGCGGTTAAGTAACTTGCCTACGTCCCACAGCCTGGGAGACCCTGAGTTTCAAGCCTATTACATGACCTCGAATTGGGAAACACTCGATGTCCTAGCTCTCCAGCGGGCGAGCTTTGTGGGCGGGGACGCTCCTACAGGCCTGCCAGCCCAGGGCTTGGGGCCCTGCCGACAAATCCATGGGAGGCGCAAAGGCGAGGAGGTCTCACAATGTCCCCTGGAAGATAAAACTCCCTGGAGGGGGTTTCCTCGGGGGAGGTGCAGGCTCAGACCGACCAGCGGGGGCCCGTGCGGTGCCCGCGCCTTCACCGTGGGCAGCCTGTGGCCGCGCTGGCATTCCAGGGGCTGCCCGGCACGCGGGGAATGTCCCAGCCTAAGTCTTGGCCTGCGTCGCAGCTCAGAAAAGGGAAGTGCTCCTAGACAGGGGTGAGGCGGGAATGTCCCCCCCCCCTTATTTTTAATTTACTGATTTAGAGAGAGAGAGGTAGGGAGAGAGACAGAGACAGAGAGAAACATGGGTCCGTTGTTCCACTCATTTACACCTGCTTTGGTTGACTCTTGCATGTGCCCTGACCGGGGATCAAACCCACAACCTTGCTCTTCTGAGAGAGTGCTCTAACCATCTGAGCACCCAGCCAGAGCGGAAATGCAGGATGGAGAGGCAGGGTCCCGAAGGATGAGCGTGTCACCCCTCCTGTGTGCTGGCCGAGCGTCCCGAGAGGTTGGGGTTTGGCGTGTGTGCAGAGCGGGAGGCACACTTCCCTAGGAGTGGGGGCCCCCGGGCTCAGGCCTCAGGGCCGCACTGCCCGGAGCCGTGGCGCCTCTCTCTGCTGCCCACCAAAAGGGCGTGCTGCTTGCCCGCTGCCCCGCGGCCCACAATCCTGCGGCTTCTGCGTCCCCACGATGGGAACGCTGGTCACTTGTTGAGGCCCCTGCCAAGGAGATCCATTCGGCCCAGCCAGGTGGGTGCCTGGGCCACTTGGGAGGGGTCCGGGCGGCCTTCAGGGCAGCGTCCTGGGAGCGAGGCCTCGGGGAACCATAGCTCCCCTCGGGAGGGCCTCACTGCAAGGCCTGGGTTGGGCGAGCTGAGTCGGCAGCCCCCCAGCTCCTGGCCTGCCCGCCCCCAACCCCCAAGCCCACCCCCGCCCCATCGGCCCACGGGCTCTTGCAGGGGCCCCTCTGGGCTCCTTCACGGCTCTGCTCTAAGACTGCCTCCTCCGAGCTGCCTCCGGACCGCCTCCTCCCAGTTACAACGTCTCCGTCACAACCTCAAACCTGGCTCGTCCTTCCTCCAGGCGAGGCTTGGCGTGGGGGGGCCTCCGAGGGGTCGGTCCGGACTCCGGGGGCGTCCTCGGGCTGCGGCGCTGCGGGGGTGGGGCCTTGGCATTGGGGGTAGGAGTGGTGGCCGAAGTGGGAGGCTACAGAGGCCGGCCGGGCACAAGGAGGGGACGCTGGGAGCCGAGTCGTCCCCCGCGCCCCTCGGGGCCCCGGGGCTGCGGAGAAGGCTCCCTCGGGCTCCGAGCCCCCTCCCACGCCGCGCTGCGGGGGCGGGGCCTTGCGGCGCTTACGTCACCCGGCCTATAAAGGGGCTGGGGCGCCCCAGCCGGCTTTGTGGAGCGCTGCGGAGGGTGCGCGCCGGCCCGCGGTCGCCGAACAAAGAAACCCGGAGCTGCCGCGGGGACCCGCCACCGACCTCCGGGCCGCGCTGGGGCCCGCCGCCCGCCGCCACCATGACTGCCAACGGCACGACCGAGGCGGTGCAGATCCAGTTCGGCCTTATCAACTGCGGCAATAAGTACCTGACGGCCGAGGCGTTCGGGTTCAAGGTGAACGCATCCGCCAGCAGCCTGAAGAAGAAGCAGATCTGGACGCTGGAGCAGCCGCCGGACGAAGCGGGCAGCGCGGCCGTGTGCCTGCGTAGCCACCTGGGCCGCTACCTGGCGGCGGATAAGGATGGCAACGTGACCTGTGAGCGCGAGGTGCCGGGCGCCGACTGCCGCTTTCTGATCGTGGCGCACGACGACGGCCGCTGGTCGCTGCAGTCCGAGGCGCACCGACGCTACTTTGGCGGCACCGAGGACCGCCTGTCGTGCTTCGCGCAGACCGTGTCGCCGGCCGAGAAGTGGAGCGTGCACATCGCCATGCACCCGCAGGTCAACATTTACAGCCTGACCCGCAAGCGCTACGCACACCTGAGCGCGAGGCCCGCGGACGAGATCGCCGTGGACCGCGACGTGCCCTGGGGCGTCGACTCGCTCATCACGCTGGCCTTCCAGGACCAGCGCTACAGCGTGCAGACCGCCGACCACCGCTTCCTGCGCCACGACGGGCGCCTGGTGGCGCGCCCCGAGCCCGCCACCGGCTACACGCTCGAATTCCGCTCCGGCAAGGTGGCCTTCCGCGACTGCGAAGGCCGCTACCTGGCGCCGTCGGGGCCCAGCGGCACGCTCAAGGCGGGCAAGGCCACCAAAGTGGGCAAGGACGAGCTCTTCGCGCTGGAGCAGAGCTGCGCCCAGGTCGTGCTGCAGGCCGCCAACGAGAGGAACGTGTCCACGCGCCAGGGTGAGTGGGGACGCCGCCCCCGCCTCCCCGGTCCGTGCACAAAGCGCACCCCACCCCCAGCCTTCCAGCCTCCCGCCCTTTCTCGCCCGCGGCGCCGCTGCAGTTCCCAGCGGCGCCCCCGCTAGACGCACAGGCCACCCCATCCCGCCGCGGGGCGTGCGCTCCGACCCGGAGGAGGGGGCGAGGGGTGGGGCTTTGCCCACCGTTGGGCGTCGCTGCATAACCCCCACCCCGCGCTGGGTTCGGGGTTCCCAGGCCCCGCGTGTGCGCCGCCCTAGGTGCCACTCTCACCTCCCCCCCCCCGCCCAATCTGGGCTCTCCCCACGTGCGCTCGTCCTTCGGATCCGCGGGTGCCTCACCCGTTTCTTCGAGCCCTTCCCCCCGTCAGCAGGCCTTTTGCTCCAGGGCGGGGGCGAGGGTCGTAACAAGTCCCGGACGCGCCCCCAAACCCCAGGGGCCGTCTTTTGGGGGCAGAAGGGAAGGCTTTGATCTCTGCGGGGTGCGCTCCACCTCCCCGCCCTCCAGGCCTTTCTCCACCTCTTGCTGTCAGGGGTGGTTGGCCTCTGCCGGGGAGGGGAGCCCCCGAGTGTCTGCCCTTCCCCCCGGCCCTTCCTCCCGCCTCTGCCCTCGCTCGAGGCCGCGGCCTTTGTGAACAGGGGGGCGGGTTCCTCGACTGGGCCCTCCCTCGCCCCCTTTGTCCTGCTCGGTCTCTGCAGATGGGAAAACCAGATGCGGCGGGGCGGGGGAGAGGAGTCATATTTCCGCGGGTCCCCCCTGCTGAGGACCCCCAATCACGCCGCCCCGAACCCGGTGCTTGGGTCCGGAACCTCCCCCGGAGGCAGTCTCCCTCCGCGCGCCCGGGAGCCGGGACGGCGTGGCGCGGATGGCGGCCTGCCAGGCACCCCGCCCTGCGCCGGCCGCGCGGCCCCGGGCCGGTGGTGCGCACTGCCCTGCGGGCGCCGGAGGGCGGCCTCCGCGCGAGCCCGGGTCCCTCGGGAAGCCCCCTGCCCTCGAGTGAACCTCCCTCCCCCCGCGGCCCCGGCCTAGAACAATTGGCTGTAGCTCATCGCGTCCTCTCCCGGGCCTCCCGCCGGCCTGGCCGTTTCCCAGCCAGAGGAGAGCCCCCGTCTTTCCCTCCTCAGATTCCCCCCCTGGCGGCTTCTCTTCCTCTTGGCGGTCCCGCCCCTACAAAGGAGGGGAAGGCAGTTGGTTCCCGGCAGCCAGAGGCCCCACTGGGGGGACCTGTGGGGTCTTGCTCCCCTGGATGGGAAGTTGGACCCCAGCCGTTGGAGGCAGCTGGATGGGAGCCCCGAGCAGCCCCCTCCGGGTGGCCGCTCCCAGACGGGCCCGCTGTCACGGGGGCCGTGATGGCGATTTTGTGCTTGAGTTTGCTGATGGGCGTGGGCGGCAGGGCTTCCGCCCCACAGGTGGGTGAGTTCAGGCCCAGGGAGGCGCAGCGTTGTGCCCACGGCCAGAGCTGGGAAGCAGCTGCAGAACAGGGCCTTTCTGCCCCTAGATGGACCCCTGTCTGGGCCCCCTGATGCCTCCCAGCCCACGTGGGCCTCCCCCTCTGCTCTCAAACACACAGTGCAGGGTGGGGCGGGTCCCCTCTGGGGTGCGTCTCCCCCGTCCAGCAGACACTGAGCCCCTGCCACCTGAGGCGTGCTGGGGCCTGAGCCGCGAACAAGTGGGCATGTCCTGGGCCCATCCCTCCTAGGGCCGAAGTTCTCACTGGGACGTGATCATTATCCCAGAGGTATCACGCCAAGGCCTGGGGTCCAGATGAGACGGGGTGCGGGGAGGTCCCTCTCTGAGGAGGTCTAGAAGCCAGTGTGAATCAGCCTGTGGACCGGCTGCAGTTTGTGCAAAGGCCCCGAGGTGGGAAGAAGCAGAAAACCCAGAGTAAGCGAGAGCGGTTTTTGGCAGCCGCTGGCTGGCCTGGACGGACGCCCGCGCCTCTCTAGTAAAGCGCGCTGGGGTTCGTGGTGTGACTCAGGCTGATGGGGCAGGAGGAGCCGGAAATTGGGCCAAGAGAGGGGTGTTGGCTCATCTATGAGTTTAGGGGGATGTGGGAGTGGGGGAGGGGCTCCATCGGCTTCAGCGCTTGGGGTCTTCATCTCGTTCTCACGGTAGCTGGCCCCAGTCTCCCTGGTGGGCGGGGGAGCGACCGGAGGACCCTCAGTTGGCGTCAGGTGTGTGCATGTCTGCAGAGGCCATTTTGGACAGGCCTGCGTGGCAAGGAGCGGCCTCCGGCACCCGCTGGGGAACCGCCGGGAAACTCCAGCCAGGGAGGAGGAGCGTCCTGGGCTTGCAGCGGTGGGGGGGGGGCGGGCGACGGGACATGACTCATCTCCGCAGGCCTGCACCCGCTGGCCTGGCGGGGGCGGGGGGCTCCCTGCCGAAGCTGCAGCCTGCCCTCCTGCCTCAGTTTCCCCCCGGTGCAGGGCTGGCCCCAGGGCGCCCTGGGCACACCTTCGGGCCATCTTTATGTCCCGCAGGAGGCCATCAGAGCCCCCGTGAGAGGCAGGGCTGGCCACCGGGGAGTGGGTCCCAGTGCCCGAGAGCTGATGTGAGAGGCAGAGGGCACGTGTCCGTCCCAGACCCTGGGAAGCGGTGTGGCTGGGACCACAGCGAGGACAAGCTTGGGCAAGGGTGGGAGGGGGTGGCTGGGGCACTGGGGGCCAGCACTTCCCGTTCCTCGGGGACCGCACCTGTCCTGGGCTCCAGCCAGACCCTGGGCGGCGCCTCACCCCATCTTCCAGCGGCTCTCACAGCCGCCTCGCGCTTGGCCAGCTGCGCCCGTGGACTTGACGCTCAGGAAGTGCCCTGTCCCAGCCGCCCACAGGCGAGGCGGTCAAGCTGGGCTTTGCAGGATGTTCTCACGAGGCGGGGCGTTTCAGGCCCAGCGAAAAGCTTACGGGAAGATGGCGGCGGGAGGGGGGGCATTTGAAGGGGCCAGGTAGTGGCGAGAGTGGCTGGAAAGAGGGGAGGGGGCAGGAGGCTCCGGAAGCTTCTGACCCCTCCCCTAAACTCCCCCCAAGTTTAGCAACTGCTAAGGCTGAGGGGGTGGGGACCAGAGGGGTGTTAGGCAGGGAGGGGGTGGATGGGGACAGAGCAAGCCGTGATGGGGGGACGGGCGGGGGCTCCACTGAGCCCCGACACCTCCCACCTCCCACCTCCCCAGGGCCTCCGTGAGCCCGTGACTCAGGTTTTCTGTGCTGCTGTTGATGAAAAGAAAGATCCGAAAGAAAACGCTGTTTCCATAGTAACCTAGCACTAATTAGAGGCTCCAAGGCCATGAGGGGTCTTTTCTGTGTGGGCCTGGCCTTGGAGCCCGGAGAAGCCTTGCTGGATGGTGGGGGGCCAACTCCCCTTACCCTGCCCTGTCCTGTTGGGGCTGGAAGTCCTGGTGTCTAAGTGGCACCAGGCCCCTGAGTCCTCTCTGCCTCCTGGCAGAACAGAGAGCCTGGGCCCTTCTCCAGGCGGAGAGAGAAGCGGAGGCTGGAGGAGAGGAGCCGGCCCGTGGGCGCTGCCCGGCCCCCGCCGTGGGTCCCTCCCAGGCCCAGCCACGGCCCTGCCGGCGGGGTCTGAGCCAGGGTGCTGACGGTGGCCGCTGTGACCCCGGGCGCTGGGGAGCCTCCCTTTGTTCCTCTGAGGAAGCGGATGCTGGTGATGCTCTGCGACTCCAGCCCACGTGTGCCCCGTGGGCAGGCAGCCGCGCCCGGGCGTCAAACTCCCTGCTCGCTGTGAGGCCAGTTCCGCCCGGCAGGCTGGCGGGCGCCCCGCTTCCATGCGGGGCTGGCGAGGCGGGCAGAGATTTGACCTCTGCTCCAGGCCCCTTCCCCGCCCCCTTTGCTCTTTCCGGGGACCCCCTCTGGCTTTTCTGCTGCTAGGGTGCACCCAGAGGGCCCGCCACGCACTGGGCAGGTTGTGCCGTGTGGCGGACCGGTGGCCGCAAAGTGGGTTTCCATAGGGCAGGGCTGTGGCTGCTCTGCCACCGTGGGGGAGAGGCAGGTTGGCCAGCGTGCTGGGCAGGGTCTGAGCAGGGACGGCCCCCAGCCCTGGCTCTGTCCTCCAGTGTGGCTTCCTCCTTGGTGGCAGCTCAGTGCTGCCCTGGGTGTGACGGCCGACCCAGCTCACTGCCTGGGGTCCCGGGTTGTCAGTAGGTCCCAGGCACAGGGACGCAGGGGCCTGGAGGGCTGAGCCCAAGGGGCTCCAAGAGGGTCCGGCTCAGGCCCCGGGGGATCCACGGAGGCATGGCCACTGTCCCCAGAGATGAGGGAGGGTTGGGAGAGGGCCTGAGCATGCCCACCTCCCTCCTGAGAGCCCCAGGGCCCCTGACTTTCTCTCTGCGTGACCTTGGGCAAGGACACCGCCTACCTGCCTCAGTCTTTTTGTGAAGTGGGGGTTTAGGTCCCCACCCCTTGGTACTGGGGTGGGGACATGTCATTGGGTTAAGAAAGGGCTGGCACCTTTCAGGCCCTCGGCGTGGGGCTGGAGAGCCGAGGAGGGTCCTGGGGCGGGTGCACTCAGACCCGGCTCTGCTGCCCGCCAGCGCCCCGTCTGAAGGGACACGCGACATTGCCACCGTGGCGACGACTCCATAAAGGCATCAAGGCCCAGCTGGGGAGATGCTGGCAACGCCTCGCCGGGCAGCCAGCACCGCGGCAGCCGTCCCGGGCTGGGGGTCTTCGAACCCAGGGCGCCCGGGGGTGCAAATTGGTTCTGCTGGGATAAAGATGCCAGGTCCAGGCTTCCGCTGGGGGTGTCCACCCTGGTGTGCAAAACAATGCAGATCACGTGCAAATCAGGACGTGGTGGGATCTCCAGCGCCCAGCGCTGTCCAGGGTGTGGCGGCCGGGGCAGATGTGTGGCTTCCTGCCTCCTCCTCAATCCCTAAATGTCCCAGAGGAGCTGCGCCCTCAGATCTCGTTCTCTGCCCCTTGCACCTGCACGGGAGCCCCGTCCTACTGCGCATTCTTCATCTCTCCCTGTGGTTGTGGTTTTTGGTTGTATTTAAAGCGAATCCCTGACATCAGGACATTTCATCTGGAAATGTCTCTTTCTGTACCTCTAAAAAAGTGAGGCCATTTTCTTACGTAACCACAACACGATTTAACAGTAATTAATCCTTAATATCGAATCCCGGGCCATGTGACGATTTCCCCCACTGGCTCTACGGTGTCTTCCTGCAGCTGGTCTGTTGGAAGATGTCAGTTCTGTCTTCAGAGAAAGTGACATGGACCCAGACGAGCAGCTTCGCTCCTGGGGTGGCCCCTGTCCCGGGGTCTGTCCCCTGCTCTGCAGGCCTGAGCTTGTTGGGGGGGGGGCGGCCCGAGCCTGTTGGGGGGTGACGGGCCGGGTACCAGCTGGAGTCTCTTCCCCCACCAGGTATGGACCTGTCGGCCAATCAGGACGAAGAGACTGACCAGGAGACTTTCCAGCTGGAGATCGACCGCGACACCAAAAAGTGCGCCTTCCGCACCCACACGGGCAAGTACTGGACGCTGACGACCACCGGGGGCGTGCAGTCCACCGCCTCCACCAAGTAAGTGCCCTGCGCCCGCCCGCCCACCGGCCCTTCCTGTGGGCCGGGGCCTGGGAGGCTCCCCTGACTCTGTCCCGCCACACCCAGGAATGCCAGCTGCTACTTTGACATCGAGTGGCGTGACCGGCGGATCACACTGCGGGCGTCCAACGGCAAGTTTGTGACGGCCAAGAAGAATGGGCAGCTGGCTGCCTCGGTGGAGACAGCAGGTAGCCACTTGTGGGTGCCCCCCAAGACCCACCTCCCTGCGTGGTCTAACCATGCCGGGGCCGCTCACCAATGCGCCCCACCGCCAACCCTGCACCGGGTGCCCCCCACCGTCCCCGCGCAGCCTCCACCCAGGGCGGCCTGCTGTGTGACCCCGGGCCCTGCCCTCTCCCTCTGAGCTGCGGCCTGGGTGTCGCAGTTCACGACCCCTCCCCTTTCTGGGACAGGGGACACGGAGCTCTTCCTCATGAAGCTGATCAACCGCCCCATCATTGTGTTCCGTGGGGAGCACGGCTTCATTGGTTGCCGCAAGGTCACGGGCACCCTGGACGCCAACCGCTCCAACTATGACGTCTTCCAGCTCGAGTTCAACGACGGCGCCTACAACATCAAAGGCAGGTTCCACCTAGCGAGGTTGCTGGGTGGGGGCGGGGCACTGTCCGGGCCAGGGAGGGACTCCGCCCTGCGTGGCCCTGGCTTTGGGGCCCAGCCGGGCCTCCTTTTGACTTGGTTTCTGCCACTCCAAGCCTCAGGGGGACAGATGTCTGAGGCCACCAGGGCCTCTGGACTGGGAGCAGCCCCTTCCACTCTTGCCTGTATGGGAGGGAGACTTCTCAGCCCCCCCCAGACCGAGCTAGAGCAGACGGGAGTCTGTTTGGGAACAGGGCGGCGGGGGACGGGGCTCCCCCTGCACCCCTGCAGGGTGCGGGGGGGAGGTTTGGGTGGGCCTAACCGCCCCACCCCCATTCTGGAAGCCGTGGTTGCAGGGTGGGGGACAGGACCTGACAGGCTCGCCCCCCCGCCCCCCCCAGACTCTACAGGCAAGTACTGGACGGTGGGCAGTGACTCCTTGGTCACCAGCAGCAGTGACACCCCCGTTGACTTCTTCTTCGAGTTCTGCGACTACAACAAGGTTGCCATCAAGGTGGGCGGGCGCTACCTGAAGGGAGACCACGCGGGGGTCCTGAAGGCCTGCGCCGAGACCATCGACCCTGCCACGCTGTGGGAGTACTAGTCCCCGCCGCCCGCCGCCCGCCGCCTGCATCCCCCCCATCCCCCACCCGCCCCGCCCCCTCCTGCTAACTCTTCTCCAGGTGGGCGCTGCCCAGGGTAGCGAGCCCCTTGCCTTTCAAACTGGAAACCCAGAGAAAACGGTGTCCCTACCTGTTGCCTGCGTGGCCTCTCCCCGGCGGGTCAGCGGCTGCGGCCTGGTCCCTGGCGGTCGTGGCCCCCGCCCCCTCCCCTCTGCCGTGGGCGAGGCTGGCACGTCTTTCTTCTGACCTCAGATGACTCTGAGCCTTATTTCCCCACAGTGGCCGACGGGCAGCGGGGGCTGGGAGCCTGGGTGTGGGGAGTGTAACTGGAATCTCCTGCCCCCGCCCCCCGGCCCCGGCTTCCCAGGAGCCGGGCACTTGCCCCAAGCCCTTCCGTGGCCCCCCTCCCGGTGCCCCGGCCCTGCATCCGCAGGAAAGCCGTACGGGCGGGGGCTGAAACTAGAACGCCCCTCACCTGTCCCCTTAGCGCGGAGCAGGCCTGCCCGCAGTGCGTCCCTCTGCTTTGGGGCCCTGGCCCTGTCTCTTCTGTTCACCCTGGCCTGACTGGAAGCAGAAAATGACCAAATCAGTATTTTTTTTAATGAGACGTTGGAGGCGGCCCAGGCAAGCCTGGGGAGAGGCATGAGTGGTCCTCGAGGGGACTTGGGGGAGGGTCTTGGCACAGCTCCAGGCCTGAGCGCCCCTGCTCTCTAGTGGTGGGGCAGGTAGGGCGCCTCCTGGAATCCAGAATCCGTCCCCACCCGCCCGGGGGCTCCCCCTGGCCTGTCCCACCTGCCCGTCTTCCCGGCCTGTGTTCCCTACCTGGTGCTGCTGTGCCCCTCCCAGCCTCAGCCAGAGCCTCCAGCCGGCGCGATCGGTGCTCCTTGTCTGACTGGACTCTGGGTCTCGCGTGGGATGGAGCTGGGCCCCCCTCCACTGGGAGCCTGTGAGGAGCCACCCTGCCCCGCCCCTGCCAGCCCCCCACCGCGGTTCGCCGCTGCCATGCATCTCACTCTGGGTGTCTTGGTCTTTTATTTTTTTGTAAGTGTCATTTGTATAACTCCAAATGCCCATGATAGTAGCTTCAGACTGGAAAGAGCAAAATAAAATAACACAAATCCAGCTCCAGGCCGGCCTGTGTGTGTCTCCGGTGAAGGCGGTGGTGAGAGGGCGGTGAGGGGCCGGCCCAGGCCCCTGAGGGCTGGTCTGGGCAGCCAGGACGCCTCTGGGAACCGGGAGGAGGCGGGCCTAGTAACGGTGTGGACCCCAGGCCTCCCCGGAGGTCTCCGCAGAGGCACTGGAGTCCTACACGGGCACCGTGAGGGGAGCCCCGTGGTCCCGCCTCCACTGTGCAAGGCGGAACAGGACGCCCCACGCCGAGGAGGTGGGCAGAGATCAAGCAGACGCCAGGCAGGGAGTGCGCACTTCCTGCTGCCAAGGGGGAGCAGGGCAGGGGGCCTGACTGAGGGGGCTCCCCGCGCTCGGGTGCCCCCTCCAGCTGGGGCCCCGTGAGCACAGGGCTTGGGAGGAGCGGGCAGGTGGCCAAGCTCTCAGCTCAGAGTGGGTGCTTACATCGCAGCAGGACCCTGGTCCAGCTCTGGGAGGGCGGGGCGGGGGGGGGGCATTTTCCCATCTGCGGACTGGAAGAAGCAGAGGAGGTTTGGGGTGGGGAGGGGAACCTGGGTCCAGCTGCGGGGCTTCCAGTCAAGGAGGCAGGCTCTGGGCGGGGCCCCTTGGGCGGTCCCTCGCTTAACCCCGGGCCTCCTTGGATGGGGGAGCTGGGGTCCCCTTTTACAGGGGGGCGGAGCAGCAAGACAACCTTGCGGGTGGAGCGGGGCGTCCCTTGGGTGTCCACCAGGGCGGTGATGGAGGGCAGGCTGGGAGGTGCGGTTGGACAGAGGGCAGTGGGGGCTCCGTGGGGCCCAGGGGCCCAGAGGGGGAGACGCCTGGTGGTCGCCTCGCTGCGGGAGCGGTCAGCAGAAGCGCTGATTGGCTGCTGATGACGAAACGGAGATGCCTGTGCTGTGATTGGTGGTCCCGGGGGGGAGTCTAGAGATTGACAAGGGCAGATGGGGGCCGCACAGGCATGCTGGGCGCCCGGCCGTGTCCTGGCGGCCCCTCACCGCCCGTTGAAGCCGGGCTGGAAGCCAAAAGAGGCCCCGGGACGTGAGGGGACAGCGGCGTGCTCCGGAGCCCCGCTCCTCCAGACCTGGGCGGGGACCGCGCCAGGAGGGGCGCGTTCCGGGAGGGGTCCCCAGCCGGGCAGTCGCATGACTTGTGTTGCCAGGGGCCCAGGCGTCCCAGCCGCGCCACGGGGCGGGGCGGGGGGGACGTCCCCAGGGTCCCCTCCTGCAACCTCCAGCCAGGCACTGGTCCTGAATAACATCGATTCTGCAAAAAATGGGCGCCGGCCACGTGGCTGCGCGTTCCTGAGGGAATGAGGCCCGACTCGGGCTGATGGGGCAGAAGCTGGTACCCAGGAGGGGAGGAGGGCGCACCCCACCCTATACAAGGGATGGGAAGGGCGACAGCCCCACCGTCCTGTCGAGGGGCGCCTTCCCAGAGTCTGGCCCAGGCTGGTCCCTTAGGGGCACGTGCCTAGGACACGCACCGTGTCGGGGGGTCGGGGGCACAGCTGCGGGGCCCACAAGGAGGATTCTGAACACCCTCTCCCAGGACAGCCCGGGTTGGACTCACCATCCTGCTCAGGGGAGACGAGTCCCTGGCGGCAGTCGGCCCGGGCACCAGGCCCGCTCCTGAGGGTGGGAATGGGCACCTTCTACTGCGAGGCCCAGCCTGCGCCAGCGACCAGCTCTCCCGGGTGTCTTTGCCACACGGTGCTGGTGGAAGGGGCCAGAGACGGTAGACAAAGTGGTTCCCCTACTTCAGCCTGAGCCAGAGGACACAGGTGGGGATTTTAGGTGACCGTTTCCCACAGGGGTCATGAGAAGAAATGGCCAGCGGGCTGAGCAGGGGGAGCCTTGCACCCGGCTTGAGAAGGGGGATTTTGAGAAGCCCAGAGGTGGCCAACAGGAGTCCGCTAACCACTGCGGCTCGGAAGCGCTGCTCCCTGGGCCTCGCTGAGGCCGGGTGAGGGTGGACGCCCGCTCCCCTGGTTGCCTGGTTTTGTGAAATGAAATGTATAATCATAGGAAAACACCACACTGGAAGGAAATGCATAAAAACGTCGCCAGGACTGCCCTGGCCCGGTAGCTCAGTCATTAGAGTGTTGTCCTGGTAAGTCAAAGTTGGGGGTTTTCGCGGCCGGAGCAGGACACGCTCACAAGAAACCACCAATAAATGCACAGGTGAGTGAAACGGCAAGTCAGTGCTTCTCTCTCTTCCTCTCTCTGAAGTCAATAAGGAAAAAAACTATCAGTAGTTATCTTTGTGTCATGAATCACTTCTTCATACTTTAGTGTTTTGAAGTTTTTTCTATTTTAAAACATTTATAACTTGGCAACTGTGTATATGTAAAAAGAGATTGTTTTAAGGATGGAGATCAAAATGTCTGGACATTACAATCACAAATGCTTTTGACTCGGAAGCAGCCCTCTCTAAAGAAAGGGATGTCAATACAGGTGACGCCTCCCTGAGGTCAGGTTCCAGAGGAAGAGCCCTCGGCCAGCAGGCGGGGGGTGGGTGCACAGGTGTGCCCGCGAAGGGCAGGGCGCAGCCCAGGGCCCTCGCCTGCGACCGGGGGGTTCACACGGCTTTGCAGGGAGGGATCTGGCTGAAGGTGTGGATGCTCCCCACCCCCACGGGGTCCTTTGATCCCCAGCCGCTCCACTGGAGACACACGTACTGAAGCACACGGGGTGCGCACGGAGGCAGGTGTGCGTGGTGGTGGCCCCCAGAAGCACCTGAATTTCCCTGAACAGGGAATGCCTGAACCACTTGTGGCAAATCTGACAGAGAAACCTCACAGAAGGCATCTAAGGGACGGGTTAGGGCCCTTATAGAACCCCAGAGCTGGAGAGCACTCCGGACCGAAGGAAGGGAGCAAGCTCCAGTGAAAGGTCTGAGATCCCTGTCCCAAGAGTCAAGTCGCCCCCGTGCAGGTCTTCACGCTGCGGGCGTGCCAGGGGCGTGCGGGCAGCGCTGGCAGGCTCTGGCACCCTGGATGGGAAGAGATTGTAGCAGATGAGGCAAATAGCCATGGCTTATCTACTTCTTGTTAACCTAACAATAAAAGGGCCTTTCAAAGGGAGAGGTAACAAGCCTTTATTTGAATACAATGAGAATCGCTGTTGGAGAGTTACTCACTCAGGCAGAAGCCCCAACAGTGTTTGAGGATGAGGAGACAAAAGCAGGGGTGTTCGGGAGGGGGAGGAGAACAGTTACATCCAGAGAAGGCAGGCCTTTCTCCTGGGGCAGATAAGATAATGCGACAGAGCGAGGTTAACCACAAACGTTTTACATTTTTCTAGCTATCTGCGCAAACAGACTCAGTGCCGTCCCAGGCCCAGTCCAAAGGTTATTTTGCTTTTTTGAGTGTGCCAAAGATTTGAGGCCTAAGACAAGCAAGGCAGTTCCTCTGGGTCAGCAGCTCCAGCTCCGTTTTAAAGTGGCTCTGTGTTATTGTTCACAGTATTGAAACTGTAGAGAGCCTATGCGATTGCTGCGAATATGCAAAATACGCAACACGTACAGGAGCAATGACGAGGCGGCACGGGTACATTTAAAAACACACCGATCCGTTCAGAAGATGGGAACGCAGGTCACTTTTCTCTTGCATTTGCTTCAGGATGTGGCAACGGTCACATAAGGTGGTTGGAGCTGTGTGGGTCCCCCTACATGCGAATGGGTTTCAATTGACCCTTAGTTCAAAGCTGCGCTGTTCTAGGGTCAGCTGGTGGCTGGCAATAGGGAATGTGGAAGGGCGGTTGGAGCTATACACATACTTGGATCTCCAACTGGGTGGGCAACTGGTGCCCCCTTATTGCGTTGTTCAAGGGTCACATGTACTTCAAAAAGATTTTATTTATTCACTTTTAGAGACAGAGGGGGAGGGAGAGAAACCTTGATGTACGAGAGATACATTGATTGTTGCCTCTCACACACCCCCAACTGGGGACCTGGCCCGAAACCCAGACATGCGCCCCAGCTGGGAATCCAGCCACTGACCTTGAGCTCCCCAGTGCAGAATTGTACCAGTCAGGGCAGCTGTACCTTTTTCACATACCAAACAAACAAACAAACAAAAAACCCATTCAGGAAAAAGTTGCAAACAGCAGGAGAGGACAGTCCTGTGTTTCACGAACATTTTGAACTCGGTCTAAGCCCAGGTGCTGTGAGCCAACCCTGCCCAGGATGCCCTCCAGGCCCTGGGGCCCGCTCCTGCGGGCGGGATCCTGGCACCCAGCAGGAGGCACCCTGCCAGGGCTGCGGGGAGGACTCGCCGCTGTGCCTCTGTCCCATGCTGCTCAGCTCTGTCCTCCTGCCTCCATCTCCGGGTCTCAGAGGGCGAGGTTTCTTCCATTGGAACCCAACCTTCAGGGAGGTGGGGGCCGAGCTCCCGCAAGGGGCTCTCCAGGGCGAATCTGCTGCAGAGGCCTGGAAGAGCGGCTGACCACAATTTCTTGATGGGGATCCTGTGCTAAAAATCTGTTTGTGCCCAACCTGGGCCCTGGTTGGCACCGCAGCCAGGCATAGTGGGTCACTTGTCCCCCACCCCGCCCTCCGGGCAGGAAGGTGGGAAAACCTTCCTTCCCAAGCAGGCTGCTACATTGGGATCACATCTTGCTGTGTTGTCTCCATTGAGTGTTTAGATCCAATCACCCCGGGAATCGGGGGCCCCTCCCTGTCTCTGCAGCCCGAGATGTCATGGGGGTAGCAGAGCCCGCCCAGGCGGAGGAATGAAGCCAGAGGGAGCAGAGCTCACAAACATTTATTTACAAAATGTCCGAGGTACATAATGATACAGGCTTTTTACACACAGTAGTTAAAACAGAATTATGTATTTTTACTACCAGAAAGAAAAACCTTAAATCATACAAAGCGATAGGTCATGCACTATTAAAAAAACGTTTTACAGCTGTTGGCTAAGTGCAAATACTAGATTCCTCTCTCCAGTTTTAAGGCAAGTGGAATGGGGCTGTCGCTGTGCAGTGTCCTGCTCGGGGAGCATGTGCTCGGCCCGGAGGGGCAGGCGCCAGGCGCCCCGGGAGCCCTGCCTGCCCCCCGCCAGAGGACGACCTCCGCGGGAGTCCTACCACTCACAGCCTGCAGCCCAGAGACGGCTTGTCAGCTGACCACGGCCCCGCCTCGCTCCCAAACCCCATCGCCAGTGCGGCTGCTTCTGGAGGAGCCCGGTCCCGGTCCTGCCGCTGGGACACTGAGGTGCCCAGGGAGTCACGCAAGGTCAGAGCTCATGGCAGTGACTGTCCTACACCCGGAGAGCAGAACGTTCGGGACTGGGCACTGACAGAAACGCCTCCGGAGCAGCCCTGTGGCCCAGAGAAAAGCCAGCCCTCTCCACGGAGGACAAGTCCTCCGTTTGGCTGTGGGGGAAGCTGGCACTCTGGTCCGTTGCGTACCAGGTCCTTGAGGACCTGCCAGGTGGTCGTGACGGCGCGCCACCTGACCGGGGCCCTCCGTGGAGCCGCACGCCCCCGGCTGTGGAAGAGCCACTCAGGCCTAGGAGGCCAGGGTGAGCGGTCACGAGTGGGGCAGGACATGCCTGCAGACCCGCCCTATCTGGTGGGATGCCTGCTGGCAGCTGATGGTTCTGAGACCCTCCCTCGGGGAAACATGGGTGACATGCTCCCGAGGTGCTCGCTGCTGCCGCTGAGGCTGGCAGCAGAGACTCAGAGCAGGCCTGACCCATGGGCCCACCCCACACCCACATGGCTGGCTGCCCGCTAAGGGCCCCTTTGGGAAAGGCAGAAGGCGCAACTTGGCAGGTTTGCCACGTTTTAATTCTTGAAATACATCTGAGAGGCTGACAGCCAGGGGCGACCAGAGCGACGCGCAGGCCTAGGAGCAGCGAGCAGGCTGGGTGCTGGGCACCTCCGGCGGCAGGAGGGCAAGCCACGTCAGGGATGGGCCCAGCTCGCTGTCCTCCCCGAGGTCTGGGGGTGCACTGAGCTGCTGGGGACCCCACGGCCTCAGCAGCCTCTGCTCTGCGACCCAGTGCAGATGTGATGTTCCACGCAGCAGGGAGCTGGCGGCAGGGCAAAGCTTCAGACATGGCTCGAACTGCAGGCTGGGGCTGGACAGAAGGCGGCGAGAACATGGCAGGCAGCCCACGCAGGCCCAGAACAACTCACCTACCCCGAGAACAGCAGCGGCTGGGCCTGCAGAGCAGCCGGTGGGGCAGCTCCTGGGGTGGGGGGCACCCGCTGACTGCACCTCAGGGGAGCTGTTCATGGCCAGGCTGGTGAGAAGGCTCCTCAGTGATAGGGCTGCCAGGGAGAGCCACCAGACCCATCACAGCTGCCTCAAAAGGGCCTTTTGTTTGGCTGAAGATGCAGGCCCGCCCCACCCGGGTGGCCGCCCGACGTGGGAGACCAGCGGACTTCCTGGGGACTGACGGACAGCCCCGCGGGCCGACGGGCAACGGGAGCCCGAGTAAGCAAGGAACACCTTACGTCAGCTAGGACAGACCCCGCAGCGTGAGACGGTCTCACCTGAGTGGGCCAAGAGGGAAGAGGCCCCTAAACTGTCCCCAGGGTGGTGTCCTGCACACGAGCACACGGTCTGCAGCCTCCCCCTGCCCTCTTCCCCGGGACCAGCGGCTTGGCTCGGAGCAGCAGGTGCTGCCCCCGGGAGGCCCGCAGGCCCTGGCGGCACTCCCGCCTCCCTGCTCTCTGCAAACGGCACCGTTTCTTACTTCAGCTTTATTAGGAATCGGACAGCGCCGCATAAGGGCACGGCTCAGGCGTCAGAAGCGATGGCGCGGCTGGGGGCCAAAGTGCATGGGCAGGTTGTGCTCTAGGGGCAGGTGGACGGGGGCAAACTCGTAGTTGACCCGGATGTTGGGCAGAGGAGGCACGTAGGGCGCTGGGATGGGACCCATGTTGAGGGGGAAATTGTTGAACACGGGCCGAACCGGCGGCAGGGGGAAGGGCGGGTGTACAAAGGCGTAGGGAGGGATCTGTGGCTGGTGCAGGTTCTGCGGGACCGGTCTTGGCAGGGTTTCGATCCTCTGGACTTTCTCTGGAGGCTTCTCCAAGGGGGGCCCGATGCGTTTGAAGGTGTTCTCTGGGAGGGAGAGCGCGTCAGTTAGAACAGGCCGATGGTGCCCGGATCTGGTCCTGCACTCGGGCGCACACCCTGCCATGGGCCCCACCCACCCTGGAGCTGGGTGCCGGGAGCCAGGAGGCGACAAGGCCAGGAACCTGTGCACGTGAGCACACAGGAGAGCCGGCCAGGCCACAATGAGGCCCCTTAAAGTATAAATGTCCCATCGGCAGCTGTCACTAAGGACAAAATCATACTCCCACCCATGCGACCTTGGAAGGTGGAGGACTGACCCAGCTCAGAACAGGCTGAGCTTCTGAGTGACCCCCCTCCAGAGCCAGGCCCTGGGCAGCCGCCCGCACTCGCCACCTCCTCCCTTTGTGGCGCAGGCAGGCCTGCTGTCTTTCTAGTCTGGTTTGGCTGCACTTGCTTCCTAAGATGAGACCTGCCCCTCAGGACCTTCCTGCCACTGAGGAGACACTAAAAAGCCGTGTCTAAGCCTTCACTGCCTTTCCCACAGGAAACAGGACACAGGGCTGGCCCAGATCTACAGCCTCGAGGGCCTGCGCTCTCTGGGCAGTCCCTGGCGGGGCGAGTGCTGGGGCCTCCGGAAGGGCCAGCAGCGGGGAACGTGCTGGGCGCGGCCCTTCCAGGGTGGCGAGGAGCACTTGCCTCCATTCTTTCTTTTCTGCTCCTCTTCGGCTTCCTTCTGGATTTCCTCGATTAGCTTCTCATCATCTTCCTAGAAGAACAAGACAATAAACAAGCCGCACACAGTGCGGAGGCCCCACGGGGCTCCGGGGGACGCCGGCTTGCCGCTGGCCAGCAACGGGGAGAAGCCGAAAACGTGCTGCTGACCAGCGGGGTCTTCGGCCTGCACGCCACTCGTTCCCAGGTCCCTGAGAACCCTCTTTCTTCCTCACTGGAGGGGTTCCAGGAGGGAGCCCCTCTGAAAGGCTGGGATGAAGGCAGGTGGCCTTCTGGGCGCTGGGCCAAGAGCCTGTTTTGCTCGCTCTGTTGTAGGGTGAGCAGGGGGAGAACCTCTCAGGCAGCTCCGAGGGGCAGGCCGAGAACCCGAGGATTTGGGAAGTAGGCAGGGCCCGACAAAACCTGAGCTTATAGACTCGGCGCGCAGCAGCTGTTTGTGTGGAGCCCAGAGGTCTTGCCAAGTCGCCAAAGCGAGCTGGACAAATGTCCGCCGAGGCCGCAGGGCCCCGAAGCCGGCCTTAAGCTCCTCGACAGTGGTGGCCATAGAAGCAGCAGTGCCCTGCCAGCAGGATGGTGGCTGGGGCCAGGCTAGGATGCAGGCAGGAGGCGGAGGTGTTAAGAAGAGACCTTGCTACTTCCTCTTTCCAAACTCAACACCTGGTGGGCCTAACTGGCCCCTCAAGTGTGGATTATCCCAGTCTGGGGACAGGAGCTAAGGAGGGGCTCTGGGGCCACGCCAGGAAAGCAGGGCACCAGGTCTGTGTCATTCCCACATCTCCACCTGCCCCGGGCACTGTGGGTAGAGCGCTGGGCTGCTGGCCGGACAGACCGCTCTTACTGCGCCTACTTGCGCTGCGCGCGAGGTTTACTCGCTGCTCGATGGCCTAGCAGAGGCTTTTCAATGATCTGGAGTCTTGAAAACCCCAAGGCGCACGGCTCTTGCTGGCTGACGGCAAGGCAACTGCTGCGCCAGCGACGACCTGGAGCCTGTGGGAAGGTGGCCTCGCTCTCGGGGGCGGGGCCTGGTGGGGAGCAGAGGAGGGCAGTGTGGCCAACCCTGGACACCGTCGCAGCACCAATGCAAGCTGAGGGACAGGCAGGCCTGCTCTGTTCTTGGGCGGGGTCTTCCAGCTGCCTTCTCCAGGAGGTAAAAGCAGTCAAGCCAAAAATATGGGGAAGGGTAGCAGTGCCCACCGTGGGGGCAGGAGGGCACACACAGGTTTCAGCATTGAAGTGCCTGCTAGAAAGCCCCGCTTCCAGGAACCACGCGTGAGAGCCTGCTCGTGGCCAGGCGTGCTCTGGGCGAAAATGGCTTCAGGGCTCAGCCTGGATATTCCTGCTGACCTGAGGCTCTGGCTCATGACCCCCACGGAACCTCTCAGATGGGAACGGAGGGCCACAGAGGGGAGCGGAGGGGCTGGAAAGGACCCGTGGAAATTCTTGGACCAGTGGAGAGTGTGGCAGTCCCATTGTGCAGCTGAGCAATGGATTCTGTGCCTATTTACTTAGCATGTCATTAACGTCACAGCCAAGACAGCCACCTGTGACTTCACCGTACAGTTGTGAACCCTCAGGGGCTCTGGTGCCACGAGTTTATGCCATCAGCATGTGGCAGGTACCTGCTGTACTGGGCGCTGTTCTGAGTCTACTGGGCAAGCTTCTGACCAACAATGGAACGGATGGAATGCGTGGACAGCCACCAAGCGAAGGAGCTGTGTTACGTGCATAACCTAGGCTGCAGGCAGGGTGGGGGGCAGGGGATGGTGAGGGTGGCGGCGGCGGCAACTTCACTTCTATTCTCCAGGCCTCAGATACCAAAGGACAGCCTGGGCTCAAAGGTCCCCAAGGTCTCAAGGGTTCTTCCCAACTCTGACACCTGGTGACCCTCATCACACAGCCAAGTCTCCTCCAGCCACACCTGGCCGGGTGTTGTGTGCAAGGCAAGAGGAAGAGAGGTGACAAAGGCTAAGATCTCATCATGCACCTGAGAAGCTGCCAGGTGCCTGTGCACATCAGACAGTCCTATGTCCAGGAGGAATCCCAATGGGTCATGTCCAGCCCCCAGATAATGCATAAAAATGCTTAAAAAACAATTTCAAGACATGGTCATCTGGCCTCTTAGCACACATTCCACACGAAGAGCTTCCTGCTCTCCACGGCATTCACTAAGCCAACCAACACAGAAGGCTCCGGTAACTTAGAGCGTGGTGGGCAGTATGGAGGCCTCCACGTGACTGTCAAGACAGAGCTGATCAACCATCTAGATTAGGAGCTGGCAGACCTTTTCTGCCTGGTGCCAGTGGCAGGCCTAGCGAAAAGGTGAGACAGAAACAGAAAGGACAGCGACCGGGATGAAGGGCGGGAGTGCAGCAGCCCTGTTTCTCAGCGAGCGACCCGGGGTGAGTCCCCGAGCACCCGCGTCTCGGCTGCGAGGGCTGAAGCAGCTCAGGTGTGGAAAGGACTTGGCAGAAGGCAGGCATGCGTTACTGAGGGAGGGCAGGGACAGGGTGACAAATGGCAGGACAGAGTTTCAGCACAGGAGAAGTTACAAGAAAAAGTGCCACGTTACTTCTCGGCCTTCTGGCTAAGATCTACTGAAGGAAGAGTGGTGCAGGTTGGGAGAGGGCCCAACGTCTCCCTCAGTGGCCCTTTTTTTAATCCTCACCTGAGGACATAGTAAAACATCAATGGGACAGAGGAAGACTGATCGGCTGACTCTCGCACGTGCCCTGTCCAGGTGCCAAACCAGCAACCCAGGTGTGTGCCCTGACCCAAAACTGAACTGTGACCTTTCCGTATATGGGATGACATTCCAACTGAGCCAGTGGCCAGGGCTCAGTGGCTTTATTATGGTACAAGTGACCATACTCTGAGTCAAGGTTTCCTGACTCTGGTTACTTGTAAATTGTAACTATTAGCACATTGCCTTCACCATCACCACCACCTCGTCCCTGTTTCTCCCATATCACCTGAGTGCGCTCAGGCCCAGCAGTTCCCAGAGGGAGGCTCGAGGCTCCCGCCAGCAGACGGTAACCTGGAAATCACCCATTCCAACCTCCTGACAGCACAGAAAACCGAGGTCCTAGGGAAGGAAAGCGGGTCAACGCTGTGGCCGGTGGGTGGGGGATGAGGCAAATGCTTTTACGCTGTTCTCCGCGCCACTCAGATAGCTTTCCTGGAGAGAATCCACCGACAAGTCCGTGAAGGCGTTCCTGTTCCATGGTTGATCTGAGTGGAAAACCTGAAGGGTGTACACGCATCCTTTCATTCAGGAGTCAGAACCAGCCCTGACTAGTGTGGCTCAGTGGGCCGGGCATTGTCCTGTGAACCGAAAGGTCACACATTCAACTCCTGGCCAGGACACATGCCTGGGTTGCGGGTCAAGTCCCCTGTTGGGGTGTCTGGGAAGCAACTGATCGATGTTCCTCTTGCACATCGACGTTTCCTTCTTTCTCCCTCTCCTGCTCTCTAAAACCAACCAACCCAACCACCCTTATAGATGTATATTAGAAACAGAGCCAGCACCGAGCGACTAGCGTGCATCAAGGCCCTCCGGGGCTGGACGCAAAGCAGAGAGCAAGGCATACCGGGCCCCCCGGAGCTTCTGGCTTGGCTCTGTGATCACAGTTTAGTGGGCAGCCCGCGCAGTTCTGTGAGGATAAATGAAGAATGAGGGCTGAGAGGCTTCCCCTTTGGGTGGAAGATTCCAGGTCCTCTGTTGCATGGCTGAGAGGGTGAGCGGGAAGGGCACCTGCCTATTGTGATTAACGCTAAGTTTCCTGTAATATATACAAGTGCTGCCTGGTACAAGCCCGGCCCTGGAGAAGCGCAGCGTAAGCTCCAGTTCCCTCAGGTGGGTCCGAGCCCCTGGCCGAGGCGCGTGCACGCTCAGCTTCCCGATACGGATCTGCCAGCTTCTGGAGGGCGGAGTGGCCGGGCGCGCCGGGCAGAGGTTCCTCCTGAGCCCCGATCCTCCTCCTTCTGAAGAGGGCCACCTGGAGCCTCTTCCTTCCTTTCTTTGCCTTGATCGCTCCTGATCTGGCAAGGGGACTCAAGACCATTTGTCCCTAAGCCCTGCCCTTCCTCTGTGTAGGCAGTCTCCTTAGAGTCTGAATTCAGTCTGTATTTCACCAGAAAATGTCAGCGTTCAACTATTTTGAGCAGTGATTGTTACCATAAATAATGAGCAACTTGTCCGGTACACCTAGAATAGGTGTCAGGAGTTTCAGTTTTCAACTTTCTCCAACTGGCTCGAGCTACAGGACACTCAATGTGTTTACAAACTAAGATCTAAAACACTGCATAATACATATAGTTTTAGTTACATTTTTAGCCAAATATGTTAGACTCTAAAGGGAAGATTCCTTTCATAAGTAGTTTCTTTTAAGCATTTTAAATTCCTCAAGTAAAGAGTGAAGGCAAGCTGAATTGTACACTTTAAAAAATGGCAAATTTCCTTTTATATATATTTTAGCACAATTTGAAAAATTAATGTTTAAAAAAAGGGTGAAGCCCTGACTGGTGTGGCTCACTGGACTGAGTGTGGGCCTGTGAACCATGGGACCGCTGGTTCGATTCCTGGTCAGGGCACGTGCTTGGGTTGTGGGCTGGGCCCCCTGGTTGGCAGCATGTGAAAGGCAACCAATTTACGTTCCTCTTGCACTGATGTTTCTCTTCCTCTCTCCTTTCCCTTCCCCTCCCTCTAAAAAAAAAAAAAAAAAAAAAAAAAAAAAAAAAAGCCATGGCAAGCACATAGATATTTTGAGATAAAATGTGCACATTGCCCCGCATCAGAACACTTCCTGGGTTTGGAGCTGAGGGACGGATGGGGCTACAGAAGCCCTCCTGGAGAAGAGCTCCCTCGGGGCACGTTCTAGGCACCCCCACTGCCACCATTCACAGCGAATGAGGGCACCTGGGAAAAAGGCTCGCCATTCTGCAGATCTAGGACACACCTCGGGCTGGAAATGGGGAACAATGGGAGGGAAGAGGCTGGCGGAGGAGGCCGGCAGCGGCTCGCAGGATTAGCTGCCC